CTTCTTGGAAGTTTTCTAAAACAATTTGAAACATAATGTGTTTTATGAATCTAATAATATATATACCACTCCATATGTGTAGCAACTTACATATTCAGGAGACAAATCTAAATCGTCTTCGAGTCGCTTTTGCACATACATTTTTTTAACCTGATTGAATTCATTATATCTTCAGTTCATTATACATCAATACATCAATCAAGTTCATGCATATATGACATACTGTTCCCAATTTTAGAGGTTTTCTAAAACAATTATAAATATAATGTATTTGTTACCAAATAATATATATACAGCAACTATATATGAATCAACTTACATATTAAGAAGATAAATCTCCATTATCTTCAAGTTGCTCCTAAACATACATTATTTGAGCCTGTCTAAAGATCTGTATATTGTTCATCGTTTCATTCCAATTTTGTACGACTTCTGAAATAAATATGAACATGGCATACGTGTTTGCTGTTTATATATATTTGTATAGCTATTATATTTGTAGTGACTTACATATTCAAACAATCATTCTCGATCCGCTTCTCAACCGACTAATTTAAGAGATTTAAGAAGTGAGGTTATGTCGAACACATGGATATGTTAATGTCTTAATTTAGTAAAATAATTATTTTAACCTTGATAAACGATCCTTATTATTGTCCTCAGATTTTGTAAGATATGCTATTTGGTTACCTCCTTTGTCATCTAAAGAAATCGACATAAAATAACGTTTCTTCATCCCAGGATATAATGCACTAAATGGAATTCAAAATCGTGAAGTAATTACATATCTATATAAATAATATATGATATACTTACAGTGTCATTTTTCTACACTTTTCTACAATTATCATAAACAAGTTGCTTAACTAAACGAATGTAATTATTATACTAAAGAAAATATAACTTGATGCATGATAAATTCGTGACATATTGCGCCATTTTGTAAGCGGTTAGTTTAGCTTTCGTCAAAGAAACAGTCGGTTCCACCAGTGGCCACGGCGCGCTGATGTAAAGCTTTCTTTGTATGGTCACACACACCAGCACACAACGCACACAACGCAGCGCACGACGCGTTTGCTTCACGCCGTGTGACGTCATTGATTATGCTTTGCATGTGTGCTAACACACACCAGCGCACGACATGTATCTCACATGAAATTCAACGATGTCATCAACCCCGACAGCGCGTGTTTATGTCTCGTGAGACAACTCAATGCGAGCTTTGCGTGTATTGTAACACACACAAGCGCACGCAAGTTTAAAATCCTCTTGTGGCGTAGATTCGATAACCGCATTATATAATACGATGTCGATATTATAGAAGATCACATCGCGTGTTTACTGGGAAGATTTA